CAACTATAGTCCCAACTGGGTCACAGACATGGACCCAGCCCTACCCCTCTTCCTCTTTTCCCCCACTCCAGATACTACAGCTATGTTTCTAGCCAGTGCCGATTCTGGCAGAGTTTATTTTTTTATTATTATTATTATTATTATTTTTTTTTTTTTTTTGGTGGAACCGGGGTTTGAACTCAGGTCCTTGTGCTTGCCAGGCAAGTGCTTATTCTACTGAGCTATCTCCCTGGCCCCCCTGGTAGAGTTTAAGGCTGACATCAAAGTTTCCCTAAGTACAAGCTGTGCATAGACAAGCATAGCCCTGAACACTGCAGACATGTGTAAGGAGAAATGTGGATCCCAAGGGCCTGGGCGTTTGTTTTGTTTTGTTTTGTTTTTTAATCAGGATCTCACCCATCTGTGATCTTTCTGTTCAGCCTCCCGAGTGGTAGGATTATAGGAGTGTACCATGGCTCCCAGTTTGGGGTCTGGGTTATGAAGTCACAAAAGCCCCACTTCAGATCTCAGCAATGTGATCTGGTTAGAATTAACTTCTTCCAGCTCAGTGTTCTCATCTGTAAAATGGGAAGTGCTCATTGCCCTATGAGCAGCTGGTGTTTCGTGGTGATCATATTCAGGCAGCCTGGGAAAGAGCCTCCTACTGGCCAAACCTGGAGTGTGTCCATTTGCTCACAGAGCACTTGCCTTCCTCCTTCCTGATTGCTGGAGGCAACACTCTGCATGGGGATAAGGGGTTTCCTGCCCACCCTGGCTTGGAGAGTTAGCAGAAACCCTCCAGACCTGAGGACAGGGACACCCAGGCAAACCTCAGTCCTCTCACCAAACCCTTTCCTTACTCCTTCCCTGCACCTTGGCCTCTGTCCAGAATAATGTCCGTGGGTGACTTCTGACATTGGTTGCCCACTCTTCATCCCTGGGCTCCAGTGCACCTGCTCAGAAATGCCCGTTCTTGCCCTGTCCCAGTCTTGCCAATCACTTCTCATGCCATGGACTGAAAATATGACCTAAAATTTATCAGCTATAGGAAAATTGCAGATGTTGGTGAGAGTTAGGTGGCATTGTGAGCTACAAATGTTGGGCCTCACACATGCTAGGCCAGTGCTCTACCACTGAGCTCCAGCTCCAGCCCCTGTTTTACTTTGAGGCAGTCTTGCTTAGTTGACCAGGCTGGCGTCCAAATCACACTCTGCCTGTCTTGGGCCTGTCCACCCCCACCCCACCCCAATAACTGGGATCACAGGTGTGAACCGCCATGCCCAGATGCAGAGCTCATTTTTCTGGGGAATAAAAGCTGGTAGCTAGGGAGAAACACCAAAGAGGAGATCATGTAGAGAAAGATCAGATGGGACCAAGTGCATACCGGGAAGAGTCAGTCTGCAACAAGAGAAGTGACACTTCATCTGAGGATCACTTAATGGACAACTGATCACCTGTGGCTGGGATTAGGTGACATGATCAAGGGAGTCTCTAGTCCCTGCCTTTGTGGAGCTCATGGTATACAAAAGAAGAAACATCGGGCACAGTGAGTGGCAGTGGGCACAGTGAGTGGGTAGCAGTAACTGAGAGCTGCATCTCTGTCCCTGGCTATCATTCATGACTGTCCTGTATGAGTGGTACCCTCACAGCCCATCAGCACACAAGCGCTTCCTGGGCAGGAGCTGATCCCCTCATGGTGATGCGCTGGAATGCACAGGCTCAGAATGGGGTTGCTCATCTCCCGGCTATGCTTCCCCAACCTGTGTAGATTCTATTCTACTGATGCCCTCACACTAGAGCCCCCCAAATGCCCACTGTCCGCTCCAGCTCCTGTCGGGAGTAAGAATCTACAATCGCTGGAGCTGGGATCTTTTGGAATAGGAACCATACAAAGAGACTGAGCCCAAGGTGATGCACATACAGGCCAGGCTCTTTGGAGACTCCAGCTTGAGCTGGCCACCCTTGGCTGGAGCTGAAGAGAGCCAGAACTGATCAACAGAAAGACCTGGCTATTCTCCCAAGGGAGGGAGAGGAATATTTGTATTGATTTGTTGGAATAAATAAAATTTGATAATTTATCACTGGCCATGAGTGTGATTTCAAAAAAGATGTTTTCCTTCTTGTACAAGACTTGAGGTGCCAGGGGAGATGGCTCAGTGGAATAAGCACTTTCCTGGCAAGTGCAAGGGCCTGAGTTCAATCCCTGGTCCCACGAAAAAAAAAAAAAAAAAAGACTTGGGCCAGCCAGATGTGGTGGTACACACCTGTAATACCAGCACTTGGAAGGCTGAGGCAGGAGGATCGCTGAGAGTCACTGGGCAATCACAGTGAACTGACTGTAGGAGGAGCTGAGTTCCTCCTGCAGCTGGCATCATCATCCTGTGCAAATACCTTGGTCTTGTGGATTGGGGCGTTAGGACAGGGTTGAAGGACTTAGGTGTTGGGGTTGTTGTAGCTGCTGAAGGAGAATGAGGCTATGGTGTCTTAGTTACTTTTCTCGTTGCTGAGACAAAGTACCCAACACCCAAAGTTAAGGAAAGAAAGTTTGTTTAGCTCACAGTCTGTAGAGGTTTCAGTCCATCACTGGCTGGCTCCAAGGCAGGGTGGCCTGTCAGAGGAGAAATAGTTCATGGCAGACAGAAAGGAACAAAGAACAGGGACAACCACAGCTCTTTCTGCAGCTGGTATCTTATCCAGGTTACTCAGGGCAGGCAGCTCTCACACCCTTGATCCTAGCATGCACTGTGAATCAGTCCCAGCTTCACACACTCTAGATCCAGCCACCTCTGAAAAAGCCCCACCTACAACCACATGAGGCTTTGGGGAACATCTAGACATGAGCCATAACATCATGGGAAAAAAGAGAGAAAATGGAAAGAAAAAGAAAATACCAGTTTCAACAGACGGTATGTCTACATGTACACGCAAAGCAGCTGGACATGGTGGCAAGGGCTATAGTCTTATTTATTTGAGAGGTTGAGGCAGGAGGATCTGAAGTTCAATGCCAACCCTTGCAATTAGAAAAACCTTGTCTCAAAATTGAAACCATTAGCAATCACCAAATAAAAAGATCTGGGGATATATCTTAACACTCACTTTAGGTTATACAAAACTGTGGGTTTGATCCCTAATACCAATTTTTTAAAAAATCCAAAAAAGCAACACAAAAAAGAGCAATTTAACTCAAGTTAGGGGACCAACACAGCATGAAGACAGATGCCAAACCCTTTCATCTGTTCTAGTCACCTGACAGACAAACTGCAGACCCAAAGAAGACTCTATAGATTTAGCAAAAGCAGCCTTCAGGTCCCTTAGAAATAACTTAGGCAAAAGTTACAGTTTGGAGGTAAGAAGTACTGGGGAGTCAGTGCTTGGGAGGCCGAAAACAAGAGAACTGCTATGAGTCCAATCTACATAGTGAGACCTGTAGACCCTGTAGATCCTGTCCATTAGATCTATATAGAAAAACAAAAACAAAAAAACAACACAGAAGTACTGGAGATTGAACTCAGGGCCTCCCACTGAGCTAAAACACCAGTTCTTTTTCTTTTCCTAGAGTGAGAGAGTCCTTACTTCTCTCACACCCAGATCTAGACTTGGGGCTTCACTGTTGCCTCTCCCATTTACTGGCTGGATTACCTAGATCAAGTCCTTTACTTCACTTGAGTCTTAGCTTTTCCACTTCTAAAATAAAATTGAAACAGGGTGTGCCAGTGAAGATGGCACACATCTGTAATCTAGCACTAGGGAGGCTGAGGCAGCAGGATCACCATTAGTAGGTGGTCAGCCTGGTATGCATGGTGAGGTCAAGGCCAGCTCAACTACACACTGAGGCCCTGTATCAAAAAAATAAATGATATTGTTAGTAACATCTAGCAACCTGGGTTAGCTCGTGGAGTTTTGGAAAGATTCTAATGAGATCGGGTTTTGTGTGTGTGTGTGTGTGTGTGTGTGTGTGTGTGTGTGTGTTTTGTTTTTGTCTTTGTTTTTTTGAGATAGGTTTGTTGATGAGGTTAGGACTGGAATTTGGACCCAGGGCCTTCATGCTGAGCTACATTCCCTGCCCTTTATTTTTTATTAGGGCCTCAATAAATTGCCCAGGCTGCGATTCTAGGCAGATGCTACCTCACCACCCACCAAGGGGGTAGATTAGTTGCCTAAGTGCAAATGTGCCCTGTGAAGGGAAAGAGGTGAAGGCAAGCTTTGTTGTTTCCCTTGGCTTGGGCTGCAGTTCCTGCTGGGGTACCCCTGCCGCCCGGGCAGAGTCACTGGTACTGCACCTGTTCATATAAGGGGATGCACCCCACCCCCTGCCCTGACACACTGTCCCCAGTTGTACTTAACTGTGGCCTCCCTGGGCTCTTGTGGCTAAGGCAGCGATTTTACAGCCTTGCTCCCTGAAGGAAAAGAATTTCAGTATGAAGAGTTTTTCCCCTGCTGGTCCCCAAATGGCCTGAGCAGCTCACCATCCCTGCAGGCGAGGCCACGGCTGTCTGCCGGGGAAGGGGCCACCCCAGGGAGCCGGTGCAGCTGCCAGAGCCCCGGCCTGTGTACAGGGCTGGGGACAAAGCCGCTCTGAACTGTTCTCAAAGGGTGCCTGTGTTTCGGAATGGGGGCAGGGCAATCACAGTCTCTTTCCCTCCTCTCCTCTCCCCTCCCCCTGCAGGATGTTCGGGGCTGGACACCAGGGCAGGAGAGGTCCAGCACAAGGGAAGGTACGGCCCTGTCCCCTCCCCCCGAGGGGTTGGCCCCTACGCAGGACTTTCAGAGGTGGCATCAGGATCAGGGCTCCTGGAGCCTGGGATCATGATTGGGCCCAAGCGAGCCCAGGGCACCGCCTGGCCTTCCAGGCGGCAGTGTGCAGCTACCCGCTGTGTCCGTGACGGCTCTGACGGGAGGAGCCACCGTGGTGCCAGGGACAAGAAGAGCAGGGCAGTGCCCAGCTGGGTGAGGGGCACCCAGCTCCCGAGCAGGGCGGGGTGGGCACGCTGGTGGGCCGGCCCTGGGCGGGGCCACGGCGGGCGGGGCGCTCGGTGCAGCCCCCCGAGCAGGCGGGAGAGGAGTCCGAGCCCGGCAGCCTGCTGGGCCCGCGGCAGCTCTCACCAGCCGGCTGCGTCCCGTCCCGTGGTCCCTTCTGCCGGCGGCCCAGCCCTGGCCGCGCCCAGCCCCGACCATGCCGCCTGCGGGGCCCCGCGAGGCTGCGCCGCTCGCCCTGATGGTCCTCTTGGTGCTCGGGGCTCCCCTGGGTAAGGGCTGGGAAGTGAGGCAGGGGTGGGGGTGGGATAGGACGGGGGAGAGGAGGGGTCGACCTGAGGGCCTCGGCTGGGTTCTCTAGGGCCCCTCGAGCTGTGCACGCGCTCTGGGTGCTGCGGGGTGGGCAGGGAACAGGAAAGGAGCACGGGAAGGCTGAGCCGCGGGAAGCGGAACCTGGGTAGGGGGCAGCCCCGGGGCAGAGGCCTCTGGGCTTGGAGGCTATGACCCTTAGGGTGGAGACAGGAGTCACCCTTAGCTTCCGGGAGCCAGTGGACTGGGGACCACGACGGGGGAGGGGAGGGAGTGTTGGGCCAAGGGCGGCCGGAGTTGAACTCGCCTGGTGGCCACTGGGCACCCCCACCCTCCCCGCAGCTCTGGCTGGCGAGGACTGCCTGTGGTATCTGGACCGGAATGGCTCCTGGAATCCGGGGTTTAACTGCGAGTTCTTCACCTTCTGCTGCGGGACCTGCTACCAGCGCTACTGCTGCAGGGACCTGACCTTGCTCATCACAGAGAGGCAGCAGAAGCACTGCCTGGCTTTCAGGTGGGCTCCTGCCTCCTCCCTCGAACCCCTACATCCTCTCAAGAAGCCTCCTGTCTCCTCGCCTTCGTCCACCTCCACATCCTTAGTGATTGCAGTCACCAGGGCTCCAGCTTGGTGACAGAGCTAGTTGGGTAGTGCTAGCGTGGGAGCTCCAGGGAAGGCGTCAGTTACCATCCCAGGCTTGGGCTGGGCTGAATGTTTTCAGGTTCTTTCCAGAGCCCTCCTCCTGGTCCTGCTAGGTCCTGCGGAGGGAAAATGGAATGCTTCACATCCAGACCACAGGGTGGCTTTGTGGAAGCAGCTCTGGCAAGAAGGCAGGACCCTGGATTTGACTCCACTCCCTGTCCTCTGTGTGAGTCTAGGGAAGACGCTTACCTTCTGTGGGTCATTGTTCCCCTTCATGAAATGAAGGAGTTGCTGCCAAAATTGTTTTTCCCTGGTATTAGGAATGAAACCCAGGGCCTCAAGCATCTCAGGCTCTACCACTATTATATCCCCAGCTCCCGAAGTAGTGCTTTTTGAACTTCCTTTTGTCACTACATAAAACAAATATAAGGAGACTGTATGAAGTGATGTTTAGAAAAAATGGCCCTGGACTATTTCTAAGGCTCCTTTTTGGGCTAACTGTTCTTAAGTCTGATCACTTCCGTTGTAGGTGTGAAAGCAGAGGTGAAGGGGGAACACTACAAATCCCAGCATGCCTCCCACTAGCCAGCCAGGCAGCATAGCCTTCTGGGAAGTGAGGTCCCAGGATCATCTCCATAGGGACCAGGCAAAGCTCCATAAGGAATCCCAAATCTTGGCATGCTGTAGCCCCTGACTAGACAAAAATTGCAGCTAGCATAATGAGGACTCCTTTCTATGAGTGCTGGAAGGTGAGAGGACCTGTTCTTTTTCTAAAGTCCCAAGACCATAGCAAGCATCGCCTCTGCTGTGATCCTCTTTGTTGCTGTGGTTGCCACCACCATCTGCTGCTTCCTCTGCTTCTGTTGCTATCTGTACCGGCGGCGCCAGCAGCTCCAGAGCCCATTTGAAGGTATGCACAGTTGGGTGAGATGGGCTGGGCCACATTCTGTAGTGGGCACCAGAGAGATCAAGCGTTGGCGAATTTTCTGGCGGTATGTATTTCTGTATGCATGCATCTGCCATCATGAATTAGAATGTGCCCAGGGTATATGGCACCATGTGTCCACGTATGTGTATGCACATGAATGCTCAGTCATGCATGGGCATGCAGTCAGCAATGGCAGGTGGACACTGGGCACATGCATGTGCGTGACTCAATAGGTCCACGGGGTGAGGGCTGTATTGGTGCACATTAATTGACGGTACTCCAGTGGACTGTGTGCATCTGAGTGTTGCAGTCACTGCACTTGTGCCCAAACCTGAAATGCATGGGGATGGCAGTACCATATGGGAGATCAGTGTGGGAGGGAAGAGCTGGGGGAGGTCCCTCTTGGTGGCAGCTGTGCAGGATTGCAAGCTAGCAGCCTCTGGAGCTGCCTACTCCTTGCCCATGTGGGGCATCCCCAGGCCATGCCCTCTGGTGCATGAGATCTTGGAAACCTGCTAAGGGAAGCAAACTTTCTAAACACAGCTTGACCAGCCAGGACTGCATGCACAGCTGCCTGCCCAACTCTGCCATGCACGGTTTGAGAGGCAAAGGCCACAGGGAGCCACCCTGGAGCCAGCCTGGGGACCTTGGCTTCCTAGGCAGGAGGCTTCGTATAGAGGATGGGGCTCTGAGTGCTAACCCTTGTCCCCCACCTAGGTCAGGAGATTCCGATGACAGGCATCCCAGTACAGCCAGTATACCCATACCCTGCGGACCCCAAAGCTGGCCCTGCACCCCCACAGCCTGGCTTCATGTACCCAGCTAGTGGTCCTGCTCCCCAGTATCCACTCTACCCAGCTAGGCCCCCAATCTACAACCCCGCAGGTGAGTAAGCAGTCTGGAGCCTCTGTTCCAGCTTGTCCCCTACCCCTTGCTCCAATTCTTCCCCTTCTTCTCCCAGTTGTCCTCCACCCCTAGCTGGAAACCTCTAGACCAGCTCTTTCCCCATGGATCCCACATACCCTGGGCACAGTGGTTTACTTCCAGTCCTCCTGTGTTTCCACTGACCCTCATACAACTCTTTGTCTTTCAGCTCCTCCACCCTATATGCCACCACAGCCCTCTTATCCAGGGGCCTGAAGATCAGCCACATCTCTGCTGCCCCTTCAGTGATACCAGCTTTGGAAGATTCCCCATACTGTCCTGCATCCTGCCCTGGGGTGGGCATGGGTCTTCTAGTCACCACGCTCTAGACCAAGCCAAGTCCTGGTGCCTACTGGGGACAGTGCCCCAGAGAAGTGGAATAGGAACTGAACTGGAACTAGGCTATGAATGAGGGGTGGTGGGGAGGGCTTGGGATTGATGGGCTATTTTCATTTGGGACGAAAGAGAAAGCTTGGGTCACACCTCCAGCTTTGAAGTAGTCCCTCTGTTCCCAGGATCCCAACTGGAAAAGCTGTGTCTCCTCCTATTTGCCCATTTTGTGTTGGGGTAGGAGCAGTGGGACACTCCATCAACAACTGGCAATAGCCTTCCTCCTCTGGCTGTCCGCTGGCCAGGGCCCTGGCCTGCTGGATTAAAGCTGTACAGATGTGACTTATGTCAGCAGCATCACTGGACCCGTTCACATCTTCCGGCAGCACTGCCTTCTACTGAGCCCAAACTGCTGCCCACTCAGGCAAGTCCCCATGGCAGGAAGGGCCAGCTCAGTGTTGAGCACACCAGCACCCTTGTTCCTAACACAGAGGGAGGGGACCTTGAGCTGGCTCTCAGGGCTAATGAGGTAGATCTTGTGGCAGTTGGCAAAAGCTGCTCACTGAAGCTGTGGAGCCCCCTGCTTAGGATCAGGCCTCTTGGACATCTGAGGCACCTCCCCCTTCAGGTCCACTTAGATTCAGACCTGGCTGGCCTCCTTGTCCTTGGACTTTGATTATGTTTCTGAAGGTCTCCAAGCTATAGTGTCCACACCTTTAGGATGGAGATAATAACCTCATAGCTATCATGAGGGTGAGATAAGATGTGATGAAATTGTAAGCCTGTCCTCCCCCCGCATCACACATCCTAGGACTAGGGGTCAAATAGAAGAACAGAGCCAACCAAGAAGTGGGTGCAAGCTACTTCTGTCAGCTGCTTGGTTGTCAGGGGACTGTGATAGCAGGTTCCCCAGATTATTAGGGCCCCCCGACTGAACCAGGCAGTGGAGAAAATTAGCTCACCTCCCCTTCCGACCTGCAGCCTGAGGAGAACCATCTGGGGAGTGGGTAAGCATCTAGAGCTGTCTGGCCATCTTCCCTGCCCAGACCCCTTGAGGTTAAGTTCCTGTGCTTTACAGACTTGCCTCAGGACAGACCAGAGAAGAAGTGGAGGAAGTGTCAGCCTCGCTTGGCAGAGCCATTGCTGCCCAGCATTCCCCTTCCTCTGGCTCTTGGCCCACCCTTCTCCCTGCCATTGGGTTTCCCTGTGCACCTGCCCAGTCCCTCAGACTTCTTCCTTGGGCATCTGGGTCCCTGTAGCCCAGCTGGGTTCTGGAGAGGGCCACTGTGCTGATCATGTCCCCACCTCATGGAAGCCTGCACCCACATTCTCTGGGGTTTTACCTCTTGTTACACCACCCAGAAACAAGAGCTCCAGGGCTGGCACTTTGGGCCCAGGGCCAGAGGCTTCCTTGGGTGGGGATCTGCCCCCAGATTCATCCCTTCCCCCTTCCTAATTGGCCCCTGAACCTGACCCAGGTAGGAAGGGGCAACTGGTGCTGGGATGGGGGCTGAGACCACAGTTGGGAATCTCCTTCTCTTTGAATGTGAGGGCAAGGATGGGATCTGGGGCTGCTGTGTGGTTCTTCTTCACACTTTAGGAGGAGAATCACTGGGTCCTTGAGCCCTGGAGCCCAGCCTCCTCCTGAAGTTGGCAGAGACAAGATATGCAGAGTAAGGCTTCTGAGCTTCCCTGAGAAACGATGTGTCAAGAAGGCCCTGGCAGTCAGAATTAGCTTCGAATCAACAAGCTGTAGCCAATGTTGAGTTGCTTTGTAGTCTAGGGTAGGAGGCAGGTTTACCACAGCCAGAGCTGCCCTGGTTTCTAGTTAACACTACAAATCACTGGAAATGATTTCTAAGGAAGGGGTGAGAGGATGGGGGTGGGCATCCAGCGTTGGAACTTTTGCATATTCTGAGCAGAAGAGCATCTTGACACATGCCAGGGCTCTTCAAAGGAAGGGAGCACCACATCTCTCATAAAGCACTGTGATCTCTGTCCCAGACCCTGGAGCCCATCAAAGAAGGGCAGAGGGAGCCCCAGTCTGTAGCTGCACCTTTCCATCACCTTGTTCTTCACCCCTGAAAACCAATCAGGCAACCTCGAAAGATTGGTGTAAATAGGTTGGAGGGAAGTTGGGGTGGGGAGCAGGTCTGGGAGACCTGGCTGGAGAAGAGCAGTTTTATTCAAAAACATGGGCCTGTACAGTTCCTGCTGAGCAGAGGCTTAAGGTCTTGGGTTCTGTCTTCTGTGCTGCCAGCGGTAACAATAAAAACAGAACCCACGTCCTACTCAGGATGGTGAGGGAGGCAGAGCTAACTCCAAGGAAGACAGCCGGGGCTCAGGGCAGGGATAGAGCTAGGGCAAGGACTGGTGGAACTGTAACAGGGGCCTCTCGAAAGCAGGGAAGTCCGTGGGAAAGCAGAGTTCTGGCAACTGACAGAAGAGCCTGGTGGGGTGCAGGGGAGTGGGGAGCAATCCTAGGTGGGAGAGAGTGCCTAGGTGAGGTGGGCCCAAGGAGGCTCTCAGACCCTGACTTCCAGGCTGACCTCGGAGTTCACAGGCAGCGCCTGGGTGAGGATGTGCATGAGGTGACAGGCGATCTTGATCTTGTGGAAGGTCACTCATGGCTGACCTTTGTCCAAATCCTATTTTTTTCTTTGAGACAAGGTCTCACAATGTAGTTCAGGAGGGCTTTGAACTCACCAGGCTGACTCCCAACAATTCCTCTGCCTCAGCCTCCTGAGTGCTGGCACTACAGGTATGCGCCATCATGTCATCAGCGATCCTGTTTCTTAAAAAGAACCACGTGGGTGGGGAGGTCGGGACAAGGCACCTGCACCTGCAGCCCCTCCAGGGTCCACTGGCTCGGTGAGCTCAGAGCAGAGCAGAACTTCAACAGTGCCCCGGTAGTGCAGAGGCGAGGGTGAAGAGAGGCAGCAGGGAACGGGAGAGGAGCCGGGGAAGACACTCACGATTAACCTCCCCCCACCCTGCTAGCGATAGTGACGGCGCGCGGGGGGAGGGGGCGGGGGGGCTGTCCGGGGATTCTGGACCTCACTTCTCCCCGGTTGGTGGGTGATGGGATGGAAAGAACCGGTTGTCTGTGGACCGTATGAGACTGGATCCATCAGTGACGATAGGGCAAGGACTGGTGGAACTGTAACAGGGGCCTCTCGAAAGCAGGGAAGTCCGTGGGAAAGCAGAGTTCTGGCAACTGACAGAAGAGCCTGGTGGGGTGCAGGGGAATGGGGAGCAATCCTAGGTGGGAAAGAGTGCCTAGGTGAGGTGGGCCCAAGGAGGCTCTCAGACCCTGACTTCCAGGCTGACCTCGGAGTTCACAGGCAGCGCCTGGGTGAGGATGTGCATGAGGTGACAGGCGATCTTGATCTTGTGGAAGGTCAAGCCATTTGCCTCCTTGAATCACATATCTTCCCCTATAGAATAGGAGGCTTCCGGGTTTTAGGAAGGGAAGGGGACAGACAGGTGACCGAGGGGGGCAGGCTGGTGGTGGTGCCTGCGCGGGCAGAAATGCGCCCCTCTTGAGCGGTTCAGCGAGCCCCCGCTTCTCTAGCGTTCTCCACTGGCCCCAGAAGCCGCTGGCAGCGCCCAACACCCCTACCCCGTAGTGCCTTGGGCAGAGACTGCACCGGGGCAGCCGTCGGTCTTCTTCCCGCGCCCCGCAGCTCTCCTCCGGGTCCTGCAGAGGGAGACTCTGGGACGCGGTCTGCCCCCAGGTGGCGCTGTGATCCCGCGCCGGGCTCCGCGCACTTCAACTGGAGGACTGATTAGGTCTCGCCGCGCGCGGACACGCACCCCCAAGAGCGTGGGGAGGGACCCAACGGCTTTGGGTTTTTCCTAAATCGTGTTGTAAATGTGGGAGAAAGAGTCCTAGGGTGACAGATTCTGTTGGAGCCTTGAAATTTGGAGATACGTTAGTTGGTTCTGTTAGGCTGTTTTTCTTATCTTCACTCTTCCATTTCGATGGTGAATAGGGAATCTTATAAACAGCCCTAGGGGCAGAAGACTTGCGCTCTGCTTTTTATGGGCTGTGCGATTGTGGATGGTTAGTTAACCTGTCTGGTTCCAACTTTATCTGCCAAATGGAGAGATTATTGCTGTCCCCCTCTCAGATTGGAAGCACCCTATGGCATGTGGCTCCCCGCAAGAGCCCAGCGGGCACAGGGTGAGTGGACTCTGGCTGGGCTTAGCTCCAGCTCACACTCTCCAGGGCTGTCAGCTGGCAAGAGTCTGTCGCCCCTCCCCTGGGCTCAGACACTGCCCACAGTGACAGACAAGCGGGCGGAGGGATATGAGAGCAGGGTGGACACAGCACTAGCCTGCCTCTGGCTTCGGCCATGGCCAGCACAGCTGCCCTGCTTGCCTGCCGCCCGCCCTGTCTTCCAGGGTTTTTGCTGTTCAGGCAAACAAACAACAAACACCTAAAAGTGACCTAGGCCCAAGGTGGCAGAGTCACAGTGCCAGCTGTTGCCAGCACATTCAAGCCAAAATGCAAAAGATGTTTTTGTTGTGTTGGTGGTGCTGGGGATCAAAGTCAGGACCTCCAACGACCTAAGCACGTGTTCTATCACTGAGCTATACCCCTAGCCTGGAAGTTCTGGAGTTTTTGTTCTTTCTTCATCCCTCCCTCCCTCCTTCCTCTTTCTCTTTCCATTTTGGTCCCCTTGGTATTGGGCATTGATCCCATGGCACTCTGCTGTGCGGATGCATCCCCCGTCCTTTTTTATTTTTTACTTTGAGACATGAAGAGTCTCTCTGATTCACTAAGGAATCCTCTTGCTTCAGCCTTCCACAGGCCTCAGCCTGTGTGCTGCAGCCATGGCTGACTCGAAAGATGTCTTTGATGTATGCCCAGGGACAGCACTGACAGGTGAGAAGGGCAGCACCTCCAGGTCTAAGGGCATGTGGGGTGCTCCACACGGTCACCCCACTTCTTCCCTAGCTGGCTTCCCTGGCCTGTAACTGCTCTGGGGAGCTGGCCCTGAGCCCACAGTTAGGAAGAGTCATGGAATGAGCCTCCCCTGAACAGGCCTAATATAGCCATCCAGGGCTTGTGCTGCACTCTGCCCTGTCCCCCCTGCAAACTACTGGCTCCAGGCAGCTGAGTGGTTCAAAAGCAGACACAGCCAGCCAGGCCACGGGTCCCTCTGCTCAGGGCCCAGGCTTTCCCCACACTGCTTTTCTGCAGAGGTGGATTGATTTCATGGTCAAGTCAAATGGTGTGGCAGAGAATGTGAGCTTCTAGAACCTTCCAGGGAGCCCAGGGATACATCAGTATCCTCAGTCCATGAAGAGGAGAGGCAAGTCATTGCAGCTAAAGGTTGTATATATTATCAAAATCTTATGGAAAAACAGATACACAGCTATTTATACAACAGCAGGTGGGTGTGAGGGAAACATCTGCTTTGGCATCAAACCTTCAGGTCCAGCTGCTGTCTGTCCATGTCCTCCCATCTGGAGCCCACTCCCCAGCAGGCGCTCTCTGTGCAGGCCACCTGCCTCCCCATGGGCCCCCATGCCCTCCATCCCTCTGCCATTACCCACAGAGTGACACTGGCCCAGCAGCTCTGCCCCAAGGGCTCCTCAGAGACCTGAGTCCTGGCCCCAGAGGACAGTGGGGCTGGGTTGGATACATGGTCCCTGAATGACTTCCTTCCTGGATCATAGGCCTTTTGCAGTGTGCCAGCTCCATGCACCCTGCGCAGTGCCATCTTCTCTGTGATGTGCTAGGAGGACTCTTCTTGTCCAGAAACCTCAGCTCCAGGCATCAAAGCAATTCTTAGAGAGCCTCAGAGACAAGAAAAGGAAAGTGAGAAGAGATGAGGCATCCGGCCTCGAGCGTGGCCCAGGCCTCGTGTGCACGCTCCCATGGCTGAGTAGGGCAGCCATAGCGGATCAGCCAGGGCTGGGTGAGCGAGGTCAGTGTAGCCCTGGGACGAGAGTCTGGGCAGTCATGGCCTTGGCACCAGAGCCTGGCAGCCTGGTCCTACTGAAGAAGCTTGGGCACCTCCACCTGTAGGGCAAAGTAGAGATGGTGAGAGTGGGAGGGGTTGCCCAGAGGCCTCTGGAATTCCTCTTACCTCCCTCCCTTCTAGAAGACAATACTTCAAACACCTCAGTGTGTGTCCAAGTGATGAATGCTTGAGGTGTTGACACCTGTTCTGTAAAAGCTGGCTGTCACTCAAGGGCCACTGGAGGCTGTCCTTTATCTCATGGCATCTAGTTGCAACTGATGCTGAGGGAACAGGGCATCCAGTCAGAGGGGCAAATAAATATGGACTTTGTCAGCAGGGGGGACTTCCGGGGAGGCAGAGCTGTAACAAGTAGGATATCTGGGAACGGCCCACACATTCATGGCACTGGTTAGTCAAAGGCAGATTCTCCAGGGTAGTGGAGGCACCTTAGGGATAGACTGACCTGTAGGGACCAGCCATCTGTGGGAGAAGTGGCTCTGACTGCAGCAGAGAAGGGTGAGGTGCAGAGGGAGACAAAGAAGGACACTCCATGAAGGAAGCAGGAATCTGTCCTCTAACACTGGCTGTGACTTGTCTGGACACAAGGCCTGGCTGAGATGACCTGAAGGGCCCTGGGAGTGCACCTGGCAGAGTATGTGTGTGTGTGCTCATGCACACGCGTGTGTGTCCTCACAGCTGCATCTCCTGCAAGCCCTGGCCCCTAACCGTGTAGTTGTGCCCACACCACTTGCCTTCTTCAGCTGCTTGAGGTTGCTGGAGCGGATGGCTGCCAGGAGCTGGTCACGGGAGTTCTTCTCCTGGGCAGGGAGGACTTTGTCCCCCATCTTCCTCTGGGTGGCTGGTGAGAGTGAATTCTTCAGGTTCTCCATGATAAGGGGAGGAGCCAATGGAGGGGGTGGAGGGGGTGGGGCAGCAGGAGCACCCCCTTTCTTGGGTGAGTTCTTTGCAGCAGGCTTTGGAGATGGCTGGGGTGAAGGTTTGGGGGAGCCCTTGGCCAGGGCCCCGACCTTGGGCACATCCAGCAGCTCCTTCTTCTCCCCGCGGGCTTCCTGGGCCTGCCTTTGCTCCTGCAGCCGCTTCTGTCGCTGCTTGTCCATATTGCGGCTGAGCAAGTTGGTGACTGTCATCCGGGGCCCAGCCAGCTCAAAATGATAGCCCAGCTTGAGCAGCGTGGTGTTCTCCTTGAGCAGCTTGGCGATCTCCATCTCAGTCTTGCCCCCACAGATGTGCCGCTGGTTGTGGAAGCGCAGCTCAGTCAGTGTGTTGTTCTGGAGGAGGGCCCGGAAGATGGCCAGGATGCCCTTGCCTGTGATGTGGTTGGAGTCCAGGTTGAGGCTGGTGATGGTCTTGTTGGCCTTGAGCATAATGGCAATAGCAAAGGCCACATGATCATCAGCCCGTGTGTTGGCCAACGCGAACACCTTGACCACCGTGTTGAACTCCAGGGCCTCGGTGAAGCGGACCAGGATCTCGTTCGTGATACAGTCTGAGTTGTTGACATTCACCTCGGTCATCTCTGGATCATTGTTCTTCACCTTCTCAAGAGGTTCATCAAAAATGCTGGGAGCCGCCTCCTCCTCCACCTTGGCCGGCGCCTCTGCAGCCTGGCCTGAAGCCCCAGGAGCCTGCTTCTCTGCTGTCTTGGTCTTACTCTCCTCTTTGGCTTCCTTTTCACTCCGGGACTCCTCTTTCTTGACTTTTTCCTCCTGCTTTTTTGTGTCCCTGTCCTCAGTTGCTTTTTTTGTCCCCTCAGCCTCCTTTTTCCTGTCTGGGTCTTCTCCTGCCTTTTTCTTGTGCTCATCCTCTCTCGCGGTGGCAGTGTCTATGCTCCTGCCCTCCCTTCTCACCTCTACATCTTCCTTCTTGACCACTTCCTCTCTGTTCTTATCCTTGTCCCTACTCAGGCCTGGGTTCCTGTCACTCCCTTTCTTCTCCTCTTCCTTCCTAGGGGCTGCTGTCCTCTCCTCTCCTCTCCCATCCTTCCCTGTCTCCTTCTTATCCACCGCAGCCCTGACCCGGCCCTTGTCAATGCCTCTGATGACCTTCTCTTCCTTGGGCTTCTCCCCGCGTCTGCCATCGGCTTCCTCTCTGTCTTTAGAGAAGCTTTTCTTTAAATTGCCCCTCTTGTGTTCCTTGGCCAGGTCTGGATCTTGTCTGGGGCCCAGGGCTTTTTTGCTGGCGTCTCTGCCCTTTTCCTCTCCATTCTTGGCATCTGCTTGGGTTGCCACTTGCTTGCTGTCCTGAGAATTCAGAAAAGAAAAAACAAACATGAAGAGCTTGCTTTAGGAGGAGAGGGAGGACTACAAGGCAAGCCAGGGAGCACTCACATAATTGCCCTGGAGCTTCAGGAGGAAGCTGGTGCTGGAGAGAGGACAGCAGCCTGGGAACTGGGGTCTCACTGCAGAAAGCCGTCTGACATCAGACTCACACAGGGCCTCGGGGCCAATGGAAACATCATGCCCATGGAGGATGCAGAGGTCTTCACAAAGCAGTTCCCCTCCCAGAGCGTTCTCAGACCCACAGCCCTTTCCCATCATGGGTGACTTCAGAGGGTTACTTTCACTAGGGCCTGCATGAATATTGGAACTGGAGACAGACTCACTAAAGCTGATCCTATACATAGGGTAAGTGGAGGATTGAGCACAGGGCCTTGCACTGAGCTCCCAGGCTTTCTCAGCACAACCTCGAACTTACTGTCCTGCTTCAACCTGCCAGCATGCTGGAACTGTAGATGTGCACCACTACTTAGTGCTGAATTTTTAGTCATTATGCATTTTTTTAAATGAATTTTTGGGGCCAGGGAGATAGCTCAGTAGAATAAGCACTTGCCTGGCAAGCACAAGGTCCTGAGTTCAATCTCTGGTATCGCAAAAATAAAATAAAATAATAAAATAAAATGAATTTTGATTTTTTAAAAAAGTTTTTTTTCTTTTTATGGCAGAACTTGGGATTGAACTCAGGCCCTTGTACTTGCCAGGCAAGCACTTATTGTACTGAGCCATCTCTCTGGCCCCTTTATTTAAAAAAAAAAGACCCTAATGATGTCTCATGCTTGTAATCCCAGCACTCTTCAAGGCTGAAGCAGGAGGATCACAAGTTCAAGACTAGCCTGAGCTTAGTGAGATCCTCTCTCAAAAGAAAAAGGACGGCAGATGCAGTTCATTGTGAAGGCTCTAGGTCCAGTCCATACTGGAAAAAACAAAAACAAAAACTATCAGTTATCTTACCCACTGAGCATCTCCAGGGGGCATTCTGAGCTCAAGGAGGGTGCCTAGGCCTGCTGCCAGGGGGTGTGGGGGGTCCCAGGTACTGGGATTTAGTAAGTCAATATAATTGCAGTAAAAAAACACAGAAGGGATCAAGGTAATGATGCTGACATTTTATTAGTTAAGGCTACTTTTAAATTCTATCTACCATCACCATCCCATTGAAAGAAGCTAATTATAAAGAAGTGGGCAGAATGAACAAATTAAACATGTGTCTCTCTTTACAGTGTTCTCTTTTCTTTTTTCTTTTCTTTTCTTTTTTTTTTTTCCTCTGCTTTCCAGGGCTGGAGCTCAAACCCAGGGCTTTGTGTGTGCTAGGCTAGCGCTTCATCACTGAGCTACACTGTCAGTCCTGGCTTTTACTTTTTAATAAAAGTTTTGCTAAGGATATCCCTCTGCCTGGGCAGGGAGCCCTGGAATCTGCTGGGCCTGTACTCAGGGATACTCTTCACATTTGGGAGAGAGGATTCCATGGCTACATTTGGATCACGGAAGACTCCATCACATGGCCCTGGGAGCGTGGGACTGAGACCACTGAGCAGAATGGACACTTGAGTCTTATTCACAGCACTGGCCACCTAGCACTTCTGTGTGGCTCTATTTCTTCTTGAACAGAGTCACATCAGGTCTGAGCTATTTTGTTTTTGGTTTTTTGAGACAGGGTCTCCAGGCTGGCCATGAACTCACAGCGATCCTCCTGCCTCAGCCTCCCAAGTGCTGGGATTATAGGTGTGCGCCACCGCTCTTCACTAAGTCTGAGCTACTTAGGATTTGCTTCTGTCCCCACCCCAGGAGCACAGCAAGCAGCTGGCCCACCATGCAATACTTGGTTTAACTGACTGGGAAGAGGGACCCAGAGTACTCAGGGTCACAAGGGGTGCTGTCAAGTCCCTCTCTAGAGGTGATGTAACACAAAGAGACCGTGGTGTAAAATTGGAAGGATTTCATTCTTGAGGGCCCAGTGAAGCCTATAATTCCAGTTCTCTAGATACTGAGGCACAAGGTGAGACCCTGTCTCAACAAACCAAAGCAAAACCAAAACCCAACAAAGAGTACCCCAAGGAGCTGGACCTGCTGACACAAGCCTGTAATGCCAAATACTCAGGGAACTGAGAAGGGTGCAAGTTCAAGGCCAGCCTGGGTAACTTAGGGAGACCCTGTCTGAAAATCAAGAATAAAAAGGGCTAGGGGTGTAGTGCACTGCTTCTTGGGTTGGTGAGGTGTGCCCAACGGGTGTGGGAAGAGGGGGTGAAAGGAAGGAAAGGCAGAACTCCATGGCGGTCTGGTCCTTGAGGCTCCTGCTCACCCCCACCCTCCTGAAGGACTGGAGGGCAGGCATGGTACCATGCGGACGTACCTGTGGCCCAAACACACCCACTGCAGAGCAGCAAAGGCCTGGACTCCTGCTGGTACCTCAGTGGGCAGCCAAGGGCCAGACAGGGCCTTGAAGGCCCCCTCCCCCCTCCTGTCCCCAGTGTGTGGCCATACTGGGAGTCTCAGTGGGGTTGGGGCAACGGAGCCTCAACAGCAGGTTCGGGGAGCCCTCCACTCACTCTGCCTTCAGGGTCCTGGACTTGGCCCCACAACTCACTGTGGAGCAGAGACAGTGGTGACTTTACTGCACATAAATAGAACGTAAGTGGGGCAAAGGTTTTCCTTTAGGACATTTTTATGATGATCTGCACAGCTTTGCAACCCCCTCCTCCCATCCCGCCACAGCCAGAGTGGTTTTGTCACGGATCCTGTCCACTGTGGAGCCTGGAGGTGAACACTGAGTGAACTGGGGCAGACCGCTACCATCTCCTGTCCTTCCTTTCCACAAAAGTGCCCAGCTGGATATCTCTTAGCACTTAAAGGAAGGGTGGAGACCCAGAGGGATGACAACCAACTCAACCATCAGGTTTAGGACAAACGGGACGCACGCCTGGTTGTCTCACTAGCAGCCACAAAGCCAGCGGACCTGTTCCTGACCTTACGCACTGAGGACAGCGCCTGCCCTGCCCGCCTGCCCTGCACGTGTAGATGCCTGTGTGCCCCTGCTGCCCATACCAGCCTCCTCCCCTGGCCAGCCTTCTTCAGAGCCTTCCTCTCCTCCACAAACAGGACTTGTTTCCCACAGTTTAACCCACTCTGTGCCAGACACCCCACATCCTGACCACTCCCCTTTGTCCTCATCTTGGAGCGCTCCCTGCTTCATTTGGGGCCTTCTCCCCCACTAGGGTCCCTGGCCTGTGGGAGTGTGCCAAGTGTCTGTGCTCTAGGAGGTGCGCCAACCCTTTAAAAAGAACTTAATGAAAAACAGGCCGGGTGGGGGTGGGGAGAGAGCTGATTAATCATCAGTTTCCTCCAAATAGCCAGGAATGAGTGGGGCTGGGGCTTGCTGCAGCTCGCGCAGCCTGAGAGCTCAGACGTTGCCTTAAAAGGAGAAGGAGCCCAGAGTCCTCCCGCCTGGGATCTCTGTAGAGCAGGACAGAGGGCTCCTTGGCACATAGCAGAGCTGCGCCTTGGTGCTTATCTAAGAGGACATCCAGGCCAACTGCTTTTTGTTTCTGAAACCAGTGGTGTATCCCCGTGACCTCGGGAGATTATTTTTGCCTATGTTCCTGTGCTAAGTCATGACCTTTTGTCACTTCCAGCAAAAGGGGGTTAGGTTATAGTAGAGGACTCCATGGAATACAGGTCCCGAGGCCTTGAGATGAGAGACCTAAGTGGAAATACTTCTCCTCAATGGGAAACCACAAAAGGTCAGGGGAAGCCCCCTGGGGGGTCCAGGAGTCATGCAAAGAGGCATAGCCTGACCTCTTTGGGAAGTCTCAAGTGATCTGTGATATACAGAGGACCTAGTGTCAGACTCAGAGGTGAGGGCAGCTCTTTGTCCCTCTCTTCCGGAGCTGTGGCCAGGTGTGGTGTTCTGATCCAAGTTATGAGCACCTGGGGTTCAGTGGGTGAATGCTCTCCCCAGCAGGGGCCTTTGGGTTCCATTTCCTCTGATGCCTCCTCTGATGACAGAGGACATCTCACCACTGCCAGGGCCTTAAAAGAGGAGAGGAGAGACTTGTCTGTCCAGAAGTCCCTCAGCAGGCTCAAGGATGAGGGGGGACTTGGACTCAGTAGCCACTGGTCAGCCTCTGCCACTCCCTGGCAGTTTTCTCTTTCCTTCCTGTGACCTGTACCTGAGACATTGTCACCTTGAGTGCCAGTGTGACCCCAGCCAGCAGTGAAGGAGACAGCTGTGCCCCAGGGGGAGCATAGCTCAGGGCAAGTAGGAAGGAGCAGGACTGTTTGACTCCCAGAGTGCCCTTCCATCTCAGCCATGTCCTCGGAGGGGCAGAGCCATGGAAGGCGAGGGCTACTGCCACCATCCCTTGTGATAGCACTGCCATGAACCCAAGCCATCTGTTCTCTCCCCAGAGTAGGTGGACAGTGACATGGCTTCACACAGTGCAGAGCCCCTCTTGCTGTGCCCTGTCCTCCCCGCACCAGGGCCTGGTGAGTCTGCCCAGGTGTGGAGACCCCCAGGGCACTGGCCACCTCAGTGTTGGATCCAGAGTTCATTAGAAGGTGCAGCCCTGGCCTGCTTCTTCTGGGATCCCTTGACCCTTGTTTCTCCAGGGTCAAGGTCATAACTACCAGGAAAAGCAGGGGAACGTATGAACCTCCCAGATCTCCCCGTGTGCAGTCCCCTACCACTCCTCTCTGGTTCTACACCGCTTCTCCAAGGCCAGGGTCTCATTCCCTTGCTTTTCTCGTGAAGCTGTCCTGGTGGAGGCCAGAGGCCATGGCCCTACACCTCCTGCCAACTGGTGACCTCCTGATCTCAGGCTCAGCAGCTGTCAGTGTCGTCTGTCTGTACAGGGAAGGGTAGGGCAGAGCTGGCCACAGATCCCCTGGGAGAGCAGCTCCCTTTCAGGGCTGCTGTGAGGGGCAGGGCAGGCAGCCAGGCTCACAGCTGGGGTGGGGAGAGGGGCTTACCC